ACATGCCTTAGGAGTAGTGCATTCTGATGTGTGCGGTCCTTTTACAGTAGCATCAATCAAAGGGAATAAATATTTTGTGTCATTTGTTAATGAGTTCACCAGAATGACATGGGTATCTCTCATAAAGTTTAAACACGAGGTGTTTACTGAATTCAAGAAATTCAGACTGAAGGTTGAGAATCAGAGTGGCCAGACTCTGAAGAATCTTATAACTGATGGTGGTGGTGAGTATAACTCCACAGAATTCAGAAGATTTTGTGAGGAGAACGAAATTGAGCATGAGGTCACTGCTCCCTATACTCCTCAACATAATGGTCTTTCTGAAAGAAGAAACCGTAATTTTCTTGATATGGTGAGAAGCATGCTGAAAGAGAAGAAGCTTTCTCATACTCTGTGGGGAGAAGTTGTTGCCACTGCATGTTATGTGCTTAACAGATGTCCAACGAAGAAATTGAAGGAAATAATTCTTATTCAGAAGTGGACTGGAGATAAGCAAAGTGTTAGTCATCTGAAGGTGTTTGGTTCTGTATGTTACAAACATGTCCCAGAAGCCAGAAGACAGAAGTTGGATGATAGAAGTAAAGTGATGTTGCTGGTGGGGTACCACAGTGCAGGTTCGTATAAACTTTATTATCCGGAAACTAACAAATTTGAGTTCAACAGAGACGTCATTGTAAAGGAATCAAAAGTTTGGAATTGGGAAAGGTCTCGTCCGGACTCTGATGAGAGAACTCCTAAAAAAAAGTCAGAAACACGTGTTTCTGAAGCTGGTAAAGACTCATACTCTGAAGGAGAAGTTATTCAGTGTGCAATGTTAGTAGACTCTAAACTCGGGAGTACGGAAGAGGCTCTTAAGAAGCAAGTTTGGTTACAGTCCATGAAAGAAGAACTTGATGCTATAGAGAGAAACAAGACTTGGAAGCTGACATAACTTCCAAAAGGCAAGAAAGCCATCAACGTCAGATGGGTTTTAAAGCAGAAGCTAAAGCCAGATGGATCAATTGGCAAAGACAAAGCAAGATTAGTAGCAAGAGGCTTTCTACAGAAGTCTGGGTTGGATTACTTTGAAGTGTTTGCACCTGTAGCGAGACATGAAACAATCAGACTAGTGATTGCAATAGCTGTTAACAGGAATTGGCCTATGATGCATTTAGATGTAAAATCTGCATTTCTAAATGGTATATTACAAGAAGAGGTATACGCATCACAACCTCCTGGATTTGAGAAAAAGAATAAGGAAGGGATGGTGTTCAAATTATACAAAGCCTTGTATGGATTGAAGCAAGCGCCCAGAGCTTGGAATTTGAAGATTGATTCGTTTTTCAAGGAACAAGGGTTTCAAAAGTGTGAGATGGAGTATGGTGTTTATGTTTAGCATATTTCATAAGGTAATATGATTCTGGTCTGTTTGTATGTTGATGACATATTACTCACAGAAAGTTCTGAACAAGAGATAGTTGAGTTCAAGAAAGTTCTGATGAATGCGTTTGAGATGACAGATCTTGGGAAAATGAGTTTCTTTCTAGGGTTAGAATTTATGTACTCTGAGAAAGGAATCATTTTTCATCAGATGAAGTATGAACTTGAGCTTCTGAAGAGATTTGAGCTAGAAAATTGCAAAGTTGATATCACACCTGCTGATACGAATTAGAAGTTAGGCTTTGATTCCGATGGAGAGGATGTGGATGCTACAACCTTCAAACAGTTGGTTGGTTCTCTGAGGTATTTGTGTAATACCAGACCTGATATTTTCTATGAGTTTGAATGGTTAGCAGATTTATGAGTAAACCAAAGTGGTCTCATTACCAAGATGCTGTCAAGATTCTAAGATATGTAAAGGGAACTCTAAAGTATGGAGTGTTATTTCTGTCTGGAAGAAAGATCGAATCAGAACTTCTGATTTATTCAGACTCTGATTGGTGCGGAGATAGAGTTGACAGAAGAAGTACTTCTGGATACTTATTCAAATTTCTAAGAGGTCATATTTCTTGGTGTTCCAAGAAGCAACATGTTGTTGCGCTGTTAACCTGTGAAGCTGAATATATTGCAGGCGCTCGGACTGCATGTCAAGCTGTGTGGATTTTGAACTTGTTGCAAGATTTGAAGATTGAAGTAGCAAAACCTCTGAAGCTGATGATTGATAACAAGTCTGCAGTCAATCTTGCCAAGAACCCAGTGCTGCATGGGAGAAGCAAGCATATTGAGACCAAATATCACTTTATGAGGAATCAAGTTCAGAGCGGAATATTAGAAGTTGTGCACTGTAGCACTCAGAAACAGCTGACATATGTTCTAACAAAGGCTATCAAGACTGATCAATTTCTTCGCTTGAGGGATGAAATTGGTGTTGTCAGTTTTGGATAAAATATAAATTAAGGGATGATATTAGATTTAATCTATATTTTAAGAATATTTTTTTGGATATTAATCTATATTTTAGGTATATTTTTTTAGAAGATATTATTATATTTTTTTATATCTTTGTTAGAGGATATTTAAGATTATATTTTGTATATAAATAGTCTAGTGAGGTAGCTCAATATAATTCATTGTAAATTATTATTTCTTATTTTTGTAGTCGTTATTTTATATATTCTTTTGTCTTTCATCTCTTCTTTGTGTACCAACAGAAATAACATCTAATTGGTCTACAAAAACCCCAGAATATATTTTACTACATTATCGTTATATTTTACTGAAAATTTATATGAGGTTTGTCATGAGACCATCCTCGTTATCCTAAAACTCTTAATAAACTACTCAGATAAATGTTCAACGAAAACATGGATATAATTTGCATACATGGTAAATAAAAACAATAACAATAATAAGTAATTAAATAAAGAACCTCAATGAAAGCAGAAAATGGAACTTGATTAAAATGGAGACTTTCAATACAACAAATATAACAAGTGCCCTTGAAAAATGGAAAAATATAAAAAAATAAAGGTATAATTAAAAAAACTCTACCATCTCCAACGGAAGGATGGTTGGGTCAGTTCACCACCTGCATGCATGTTTTTAAGAAATGTATTAATTTTTAATTGTTAGCGGTGAACTGTAATTTCAAACTGCAACGTTGTAATAAAATAAAAAAATAATTAAAATTTGTTATCGTTGAAAATTTAACCTCACAATTTTTTAATAATTAACTTGCTACCGTTGAAAATTCAGACTACAGCATAACTTTTTCTTTTCTAATTTATTTTTTTACTATTAATTTGTTTATAAATGAGACGAGTTCATATTTTTTACACATTAATCTTCTTTATAATTTTATATTCTTTCAAATTTTCAATTTCTCTCCACAATTTCCATCACTTTTCTCTTAAATTTTCAATTTTTTTCTTACAATTTCTTCTTATTAATCTTCATTTAACACAGTATTTTAATTAAATTTTTATCTTTTCCCTTTAAATTAAAATTATTTAGGTCAAATGAATACTAATTATTTTCATTATCAACAAATTTTGTTTAATTACATGCAAATTTATCAAAATTTTAATCTTCAAAATTTTTAATTTTCATCGGTGCTAACAAATTCCGTCATATTTTTTCCGCCACCAAACAATTCAAATATGTATCATAAACCTCAAATGAATTCTAGTAATATGAAATTTTTTCGTCATGAATCAAAAACATTGATTGAATTTATATCTGGATATCAATTTCCATCATTTTCTATTCAAATTGGTACTGAAAAAGAAGAAACAGATGTCATTAAAAAAAATCTCGAAAACAATTTACAATGGATAAGAATATACTTCTTATTTAATCACGACTCAATATTTTAAAGAATTCGGTTGTAGGAGTTTATAAAAAAAAAGAGAATTTTTGATTAAGAATCACAGAAAAAATTAAAAAAACAATTAAAATATGTTCACATCAAATAAATGACTCGATTCCAAAATTTATTGAATGGAATTAAAATATGGTTGGCATCACATATTCTATGATTACAGTAAGTACATGTGCTTTCATTGGCATTAAATTCTCAGTAAAATGCCTAACAATGAATCTTGAACACAAGAAAACTAAAGGATTGCAAAAGAGAAATGGAGAAAACTAAAATGTCAAATCCAGAATGGAGAGATTACAAACTAAAGAGAAAAATGACAAACTTATTAAAATAAGGACGGCTATGTTTAACAAACACACAAAATTAGTTAGCTGGCCAAACTGATACACGTGATTTGGCGCCGACAAAAATGAATAAATGTTTTATAGTGAGATTAATTTTCTAATTATTCCATTTCAAAATAGTCTCTTTTTAAAATTTTTGTATACGAATTAAAAAAAAATTATTATAAAACATTATATTTTTATTAAATTAATTTTATTAATATATTATAAATAGTACACACTAATAATTTAAGAATGTAATTAAAAAAAAAAAATTATTACATTTATATTGAAAAGTGAAAATAAATTCTTTTTAAAATAAATTTTTGCTACCACTTCTTTTAGTAACATTATTCATTATTAAAGTATCATAGCCTCTCTCTAAAGTATTGAAACATCCACTTCAAAACGTGCTACCAAACTTTCTTCATATTTTCTCTCAGAAAGAATCGAGAATGGAAGGAATAGAACACAGAACAGTTGAAGTGAATGGCATCAAAATGCATATCGCTGAGAAAGGAAAAGAAGGACCGGTTGTATTGTTCCTTCACGGCTTCCCTGAACTCTGGTACTCATGGCGCCACCAGATTGCTGCTCTCGGCTCCCTCGGCTACCGTGCCGTGGCTCCAGACCTACGTGGCTACGGCGACACCGATGCTCCAGCTTCAGTAAGCAGCTACACAGGATTTCATATTGTAGGTGACATAGTTGCTCTCATCGACTGTCTCGGTGTTGAACAAGTGTTCCTCGTGGCTCATGATTGGGGTGCTCTCATCGGATGGTATTTATGCATGTTTCGTCCTGAAAGAATCAAAGCCTATGTGTGTCTCAGTGTTCCGTTCTTCCGTAGAGACCCCAAAGTCAGAACCGTTGATGGCATGCATGCTGCTTATGGAGATGATTATTATATCTGCAGATTTCAGGTCCTTTCCATTTCTTTGTTTCTATAAAATGAAGTGATAAATTGCTGTAATGATTGATCTATATGCGTATCACAGGAACCTGGGAAAATGGAAGATGAGATGGCTGAAGTTGGCGCTGCATATGTGCTGAAAGATATCCTCACAACTCGCCAAACTGGTCCTCCCATTTTTCCGAAGGGAGAGTATGGAACTGGATTCAACTCGGATACCTCTAACACTCTGCCATCTTGGCTCACAGAAGATGATCTTGCTTATTATGTCTCAAAACTTGAGAAAACTGGCTTCACTGGAGGATTAAACTACTATAGAAACTTTAACACGTAACATTTTTTGATTCTCTGAGAGTCTGTACTGCATTGCATTAGATTGTTTTCCAAAAATCTATATCGACATAATTCTAATGACAGGGAAATTATTACTTGTATTGCAGAAATTGGGAGCTGATGGCACCCTGGAATGGAGTGAAAATCAAGGTGCCTGTAAAATTCATTACTGGTGAGTTAGATTCGGTATACACCTCGCTTAACATGGAGGAGTATATACATGGTGGAGGATTCAAGGAAGACGTGCCCAATTTAGAGGAAGTGATTGTGCAGAAAGGGGTGGCTCACTTCAATAATCAGGAAACAGCAGAAGAAATTAGCAATCACATTTACGAATACATCAAGAAGTTTTGAGCTGATCTGCCAATAAAATTATCATGCCTTGTATTTGCAATAATTGTTCACTTGTACTTGGTACTAAAATTGGATCTATCTCTCTCTTTCGAAATAGCTCTCCACCAAGCTACCAAACAGAATCTGTACTTTGTTACCATTTCCTTTAAATAAAAAGATGATCTTGGCTTGTCTTCTACTCTCATCCTTCCTAAACTAGTTAAAAGTGTGATAAACATTTACGCCCAATCCACGTTTGAGGAAGTTTGATAAAGAAAAATCTAACTTCCAAGATATACTCTATAAAGTAAATGACAAGTATTATTTCGATTTATTTAATTGGCCAACTTTAAGTAGATTCTAGGTATTATGTCTTAGCAATGAAATTCTCTATTATAATAGTAGGAGGTTGGTTGGAGTTGCGAATAAGAAGGAATTAAAAATTTGATTAGAGAAAAACAACAAATGTGTATCAAAGAATTTTAGGTTTTCTAAGTTGAAGATGAGTCAGAGTCGAATCAAATTGATTTTAGTTTGTTTTGATATGATAAAAATTATATTAGTTTGAATTTCAAATTGAATTCGATGTTGATTTTTTTCTTCTAAATTTAAACTCGATTCAATTAAAATTCCCAAATAATTTGGTTTGTTAAGTTGAATTAACTTGTTTTAAAGATTTAAAAAACATTTTTTTTAAATCTAAATTTTTATTATTTATTTGATATTTAAAATTAATATTTTATTAAAAAATTATTTAAATAAAATAAAAGTTATAAAGTTAAAATTTAACTTCTACTTTTAATATAATAAAGTAATACATTAGTAAAATTACTTTTGTATTCTAACAAATTATTGAAATAAACATTTTCATAGCTCAACTTTTATGTTATCGTCTTGGAAACGTTCAAGTTATCTCTAAACCTGAAAAAAAATTGAATTTTACTTTGAAATAATCACAACTCTTCCAATTCATCTGCACTCCTCACATTCATCTATAAAACACGACAGTAATCTCATTCATCTACACTGCATCTCCCACTCTTTCTTTTCTTTTCGAAAAAAATTTTGTTTGTCATACGGTATACTTATTCTACCTTTTTTCAATCCCTCAATCGTGTTTCAACCTCCGATCTTGAAATGCTCGAATCAATGTGCAGTACCGTTTCATCTCCATCTTCCACTTTTCTGTCTTTGATCATTACTTTTGTTTTACAATATCTTTTTCATGTAACCGTTACCAATTAACTGTGCAGAACTTCAGTTTTTGTTCTTCATCTTCTTCAATCAGCTCTATTTTCCATTAGGTTTTTTGTTTCTTTTTCATCGGCATTCACACATCTTCCATTACATTGTGATGTCAAGCATACAAATTCAATCAAAGGTATTCAACTTTACCGTCAAGCAGTGTCGTCCAACAAACAAACCCTATCCAAAGTATTCAACTTTTATTAGAATGATTATGTTGAAATACATCACAGATGCACAACATCATTGATTTTAATGGATAAATAGCTTTCTGCACATGCTGCATATGTTGTAAATTATATCAACAAGTTAATTTATATTATTAGAACTTTATTATAATATAGTATGGTTTATTGTTTAAAAAAATTCATTAATTTTCTTTGTTTCAATGTCATGAATTTTTACATGGAGAAAAATGTTGAATCTTAAATGTCGTGTTGTTCATCTTCAATCATTGTATATCCCACTGATAATCTAATTATCATGAATCTGTTGGAAACCCACTAAATATCTATGATGAATTTCTACAGAATGACAATGAATTATGAGAAAGAAAAGAAAAGAAAGAAGACAATTATTTTCTGCAAAGTTTCTCCCTGCCCACAAATTGTGGAAAACTTTATTATTCACTTTGCAACTACAAAATATTGTGAGTGACTTAATTGACTTGATTACAAACTTAGGGGTTACTCCCTATTTATAGATTTTGGTTAGCTCAAAACCCAAAACTATAAAAGCCTAAAATACCTATTTTGGTACTAAATCAAATCTATCTATTTTAGATCTAAATCAAATCTATTTAAATCTAAAATAAATCTAATCTCTTCGACACACATAGTTTCGACACTATGAATTACAATTTAACACACCACCTAATTCATTGTGTCTAAACTATCTATATTCATCATGGCTCTTAGTCTTCTGAATACTTCGACTTGCACTCCCTTCGTCATGGTCTCTACAATCTGATTCTCAGTTCTGCAGTGTTCCAAATTCATATTCCCATCCGCTACCCGCTCTCGAAGATAATGGAACCTCATTTCGATGTGCTTGCTTCGATCATGTGCTATCGGGTTCTTCGCCAGATTGATAACTGACATGCTGTCGATCTTCATGGTAATTTTTCCATGATCTTTCCCTGTTATTTCTTCAACCAAGTTCACCATCCAAGTTGCTTGACATGCACAAAGAGAAGCAGCCATGTATTCTTCTTCGCATGATGATAATGCCACTACCGGTTCCTTTCTTGAACTCCAAGCAACTGGTGCACCACCTAACATAAACACATATCCTGCTGTTGACTTTCGATCTTCAGCATCACTACACAAACTCGAATCAGTGTATTCCACTAACTTGCATTCTTTTCCTTTATCAACTATAGGAAACAAAATGCCATAGTCAAGAGTTCCTTTGAGATACCTTAGTATCCTCTTCACTTCTGCTAGATGCGATACCTTTGGCTTCTGCATGAATCTACTTACAATACCTACACTATATGCTAAGTCAGGCCTTGTATGAAAAATATATCTCAATGATCCAATAAGTCTTCTGTATTGGGTTGGGTCGACATCATCTTCATCTGCATCTTTCGACAGTTGCAGTATTGGTTCTGCAGGTGTCGAAGTTAAGTTGCATTCTTCCATCTCAAATCTCTTAAGAATTTCTCCTACATATCTTCTTTGATGCATCATCAAACCTCTACTTCTCTTGTAGAATTCGATGCCCAGGAAATATGAAATCTCAGCCAGATCAGACATTTCAAATTCCTTGCTGAGATCACCTTTGAAGTCTTCGATCTCACTTTTGCAGCTACATGTTATCAATAAATCATCTACATAAAGACATGGTATAAGAAATTCACTATTGCTTCTTCTTACATATACTCCATTTCAGTTGTCCACTTCACAAATTCCTTCTGCCTTAGGAAACTATCAATTTTATTATTCCAAGCTCTTGGAGCTTGTTTCAATCCGTACAAGGCTTTATGTAGCTTGTACACCTTTCTTTCTTCATCATGTTTCACAAATCCAACTGCTTGTTTAACATAAACTTCTTCGTCTAAGGGTTCATTCAAGAATGCACACTTTACGTCCATCTAACATATGTGCCATCTGTTTATTTCTGCTAGACCAACAACCAACCTGATTGTTTCGATCCTAGCAACAGGTGCAAAAACTTCATCAAAGTCTATTCCTTCTTGTGATGTGGTGGGAGAACTGACTTGAGGTTTTGCGTTTGTGTTCGCAAATGTCGCGGTTAGCAAGAGTCGCCACCTACTTTTCTTTTATCCAAAAGGAAAGGTAAAAAAGCACAGGAAAGACCTTTGAGATTGTTTTTGAGTTCGGGGGGTAGATTATGAAAAGGGAAGGTGCTATCACCCTTTTCATCCATGGTTTTCCATGGGCTCTTAGTTACTTGTTTAGATCACCTGCTTTGCTTTTTGCAATTGTTTGAAATGGTGCTTTGTGTGGTTTTGAAAGTATTTTGAAAAGAGGCCATCGTTTAGGCAATCTTTGTAATGATTCTCGTTCGTAAGAATGTATACAAAGATGTTTGTCTTTTGAAAAATGTTTCAATATTTTGAAAGTTGTTTGGAAATGTTTTGAAATGTGTGTGTGTTTGAAACTAGCAAGGATTGTTTTTGAAATGATCAAGTAACTAGAAGCTATCTATCTACTCAAAAGTCTTTCTTGTACATTTTCATTCCTTTGACATTGTTGACCTGCTATTGTTTTAGTAGACAACCCTATCTTTGGATGTTAAACGGGATGGGCGTGGGTCATCGTATGACCATGATAGCAATGGTGCAAAGTATCTTAGCATGTTTAAGGGACCAAGATCATTTGTTTTTAGGCAACCTTTTGATAGCGTCATCAAATAACTATGATCTTTTGTTTTGTTTTGTTTTGTTTTGCCAAGATACCTTGCATGCATACTATGGCCATTTAAATTAGGCAACCAAGTGGGTGAAACCCTAGGGGTGCTTATGTGCAATGTGTTGTCATCTTACATGCATTTTTGTCTTGTATTAGGTCATGCTATTTGTTTGATTTTTGTCTTATCATACAAAACCCTAATTTACTAAACATGTATATAATGCGATAAATTGCGTAAAGTAAATCTAAGCTATTACAACAATATTATGGGAGGGGGGATACAAGTTTTTGAATGGGGATATTTGCACAAAATAAAACTCTAATTCACTATTATAACCCAATTGAATTTATTGTACAATAAATAAATAAACAATTATTTAAATATGCAATAAAAATGTAACTATGCAAAGTGTTTTTGTATTTATTTTATATATGTAAAAATAAGATTATTTAGGTCCTAAAAATAAGAGAAATTATATTGTTATTTTTTGGAAGGGTGAAAAACCCTAGTTTTTGATTTAAAAGAAAATTAGGTTTTCTAATATTTATTTGTTCATTCTTTTTGTTTAAGAAAAATAATAATAATATTATGTACAAATATCAAAAATTAAATATGTATGAAAAATAAATATATAATGTGTATAAAATAATGAAATGAAATATTTAAGTATTTTATTATTATTTACAAGTTTATTTAAGAAAATAAATTCTATAAACCTAATAAACTATTTTTATGCCAAAAAAAATAATAAAAAAAATAAAATAAAATGCAAAAAATTAATAAAATATTTTTGGGATTTTTTAATGTTCAAAAAATAAATAATGAAGTCAATAAACACAAAAATAAAAAGAAAATATGAAAAATATCAAAATATGCAAATGGGGGGTGCAAATGGTAAA